CCTTGACCTTCGATGGCATTACCATCACTGAATCCCTCAATAACAACATCAGAGAGGTTGTCGTTGAGTCGAACAGGACTAGACTAGCCATATAAATACTCTGGCTCAAAAAGCAGGTCAAAGGTTAGAAATCCTTGAGCCTCAAGTAACTCACCACCTGACTCCCCAAAGTCTGTCCCCCATCAATAAGGTGCAAGTCAGGAGCGTGATGGCGATGGCTAACCCTAACCCTATCGCACCCTACTTTACCTCTGAGTGCAGCTCCATCGAGAAGCCTGACACCATCCTGGACAAAGCACCCCACTTCATTGGAGTGATGTCCACAAACATTCACTCCATCTGTCACTGGTGTTTAGTAGCAGTAGTGTGTGCCATATACAGGATGCATTGTAAAAATTTGCCAAGGCTGCTTAAAAAGTATCTTCCAAATCCATGGCCACAACCATTGAGGAGGACAAAGGTAGCTGGTACATGGGAACACCACCACTTGCAAGTTTCCCTCCAAGCCAGTTATCATCCTGACTTGGAAATGTATGCCTGTTCCTTCAGTGTCACTGGCTCACAATCTTGGGACTCCCTAGTTGCATTCTGGGTCTACCTGCAGCAAATGGATTTCAGTTTAAGAGGCAGCTCATCTATACTATCTCAAGGGTGACAAGGGATACACAATAAGTGCTGTCCACATCACAAAGAAGTTTTTAAAAGTGCCAATCATGTCAGTGTCAAAATTGAGAATTAACCTTCATGTCACTGGGAGTATTTTAAGGTATAAGAATGCACCTATTAGGAGGGACTGGCAGTCAGTTGAGAATAACTGGAATTGATTTTCAGGTTAAGTTATACCTTGATTTTTAAAATGTGGACAAGTATAGTGGAAATAGACACGGATTTGCATTTTATTTCGTGTCTTTCATGATCTTGGGGCACTGCAAGCAATTTGAAGTATAATCATTGTCCTATTGCAGGAAACGTAGCAATCAATTTATGCATAGCAAGCTTCCACAAACATCAGTGAAATAAATTACCAAATCATCATTCTGTGCGCCGGTTAGCCAAGCCACTTGGACAAATGACTCCACTGTTGTGAATGCTGCTGTTCGATCTTTTATGGATAGTTGTGGGGCAGTTAAGACCTTGACTTAACATCGCATTCAAAGATGGCAGTCTCCCATCAATGTAGTATACCCTACTGAAATGTCACTTACCTGCACAGTGGATAATTAATCAGAGAATTGAATAGACATGAAGTACTAGGTGTGTACATTTTAACTGCCAGGATGATGGAATGGAAGGATAGTTTGTTCTGAAATGAAAGTACATTGACAAGTTTCCTGTGATAATTGCTAAGACATTCTTGGTAATTTATCAAATTCTAATATATAAAATAATAGCACATCAGGATTTTTGGCTTATGGCAAAGTTCAAAAAGAGCATCTTCTCCCCCCAGCAAACAATCCTGATTAACTGGCATCCCAGAGCATTGCAATTCAAACTAAATATAGGACACATCTACAGCTGTACTATCAAATTGAAGTAGCAACTGAGCACAAGAAGGGTAGTTTATCGCAGCTAAGTCGCAATTGATTTCTCACTCCACGCGGGCATTTTTTTTTTTGCAGAAGTTTAAAATGGAGTTATCATTTAAAAGCACATAATTGGAAACTGTGGTCGTCATGTGAGAATATTATTTATATACCAAAAAAACTATAGAAAGATGCTTCGTGCAAATACTTGCCAATAAATTTCTTCCGAGAATAATGAATCTGTGGAATTCTTTACCACAGAAATCTGTCAGGACTGGGTTATTAAATATTTTAAGGCTAAGATGAAAGGATTTTTGATCAGTAAGGGTTAGAAGGAAAAAAGCAGGAAATTGGAGTTGACAATTAGCAGATCAGCCACAATCTCATTGAATGGCAGAGCAGACTCACTGGACCTACTTCTGCTCTAGATCTTGGGATCTTATGGTAGAGAAGTATGAATATATTGAACTAATCCTAGTCTCATTGACTTATTCAAAACAAAATGATCATTGAAATATTATTTGAAGGAATTCTCCATACAATCCAAAGGTTGGTTGTTTGCACCAGGAAGCTTTGAAAACAATCATCTTAGAACATAATAGGCCATTGTCAACTCCTTGGAGAAAATGTCAAACTGATTGCATCTGGCCTTTTTCTCATGTAAGACTGGAGCTGTGGTTCTGAGAGGAGATTCCGATGATGGCACCCTTAGCAATGAGGAACCATGCTTCCATTCCGACAATCCTTTCATAGTGCAGAACTACTTGAGATTGTCACTCCCTGGAGAAACCGGCCCATCATGTTCTAAGATGACTGTTTCAAATCTTCCCATAATCTGAAATTTAAGGGCCCTGACAGGTGCTGTCAAAACGAAAGTATAAGGTTAACGTGACAGGAGAGTAGAATGTTGGCAATAGAAGGGGTAGGGTACCTAGTGGGTAGGATGTTAGGGTGTGACGTAGCAAGGTACGTGGTGCTGTTTTTAGGTCAGGATATATGGGATAAATTTAGTCTCTGATATTAGGTTTAAGGGTTGGGGCTGGCTGGAGTGAGAGGGGGAATCTGGTTGTTTATGTGGATGAGGGGACTTGGATCTAGTCCACCTGAGTCAGAGGGGGTGTCGGGGTCTGGGGGTTCAGTAGTTGGCTCTGTGAGATAACTATGGTGTCAGTTTAACAGTCTGGCTCCTGAGAATCTATGTATTTAAGTGTCCAGCTTTTCTTGAGTAATCCTAATCCACTTTAGACCTCAGTCTCTGAAGTCTGTGACTTTTTGAGGGCTCCAGGCATCAAAGAATTGCCCAGCAGAAAATGTAATTTCCTGTGCAATTTTTTGGAAGAGTTATGATGGTGACTGTACACAGTCTATATGTGCAACTTCCATCTGCGCTGGAATAAAGACTGGCCATTGTAAAACATAGGACAGTGTTCCTTACCTGTAACCAATTCTGTATGCATGTGCGAGAGGCCTTGAAAGGGAATGCTACCCTAGGTAGTGCATGGATTCTGAGAGGATCCCTTGCTTCCTTTTGACAAAGTGTTCATTCGGAAATGTCCCTGGGTTCTTCGAAAGGAGTCCTTGGTTCAGTTTGAATATGAGCACAAAAGTAAGCGTTATACAGTGTTACCTTTGTACATTGCTTTATAATCCATCCTTGAAGTCCTCGCTAAGGAAGATTTATGGCCCTGTTTCTTGCCTTTTCCAAGACATAAGTGCATTCTGTACATTAAGATTCAGGAATTTTCAATCTTTTCGATTTCTGTTGTTACCTTTGGGGAAAATTTATGTTAGTGTTGGTCTACTGTAAATTGCTAAAAAGGATTTCATTGAAGAAAGACACATCTTTACTCTGCATTTTTACAGATGACTTTTCTCCCCAGGGTGTCGTGGGAGATGCAGGAGGTAGTTACAGGGGCTCGGACTGAAATTTTTAAATTCTCTGCTGGCCAGAGGACTGGAAGGCAGCTGAAGTGGTAGAGAGAAACCAGGAATTACAGACCGGTGCGAATCTTATCTTATCAGTGAAAGGGAAACTATTGGGAAATATTCTAAAGCAAAGAATTAACCCTGTTTGGAGAGACTAGGTTTGAATAGGGATAGTCAGCATGGCTTTATCGCAGGAAGGTCATGCTTAACAAATTTGACTGAATTTTTCAAGGTGGTGTCTAGGTATGCAGATGAGGGTAGTTTCTAAAGATTTCAGCAATGCCTTTGACAAGGTCCCACATGGGAGACTCATGTTAAAATCAAAGCAAAAGCCCATGGGATCCAGAGTAACTTGGCAAGTTACGTCCAAAATGGGCTTAGTGACAGGAGACAGGGTGGTGATTGAAGACTCTGGTGTGTAGTGGTGTACCACACAGATCAGCACTTTGTTTGTGATTTCTATAAATGACATAGATGAGAAAATGTGGAGGGAAATAAATTTTGTGGATGATGTGAAAATTGGCCAGGTGTTTGATCATGATGGCAGTGATTTTGAGCAGGAGGATATAGATGGGTTGGTCAGATGGGCCAATCGGTGGCAGATGGAATTTAGGAGTATGAGATGATGCACTTTGGAAGAAGTTGTACGACAAGGGAGTACTCTATGAAAATCAGGACACCAGGAAGCTCAGAGGGATCTTGGATTGCTTGTCCACAAATCCCTGAAGGCAACAGGGTGGGTTAATAGATTAGTTTAGAAGGGGTACACTTATCTGTTGTGGCATCGTGTGCAGTTCTGGCCTATTGGAAAGATGTGATTGCACTGGAGAGGGTGCAAAGAGATTCATCAGGATGTTGCCTGGAGTGAAGCAGTTTAGCTACAAAGAGAGGCTGGAAGAGCTCAGGTTTTTTAGTTTGAAGTGAAGAAGAGAGTGTGGACTTGATTGAGAACCATGGAGAGGATGGATAGAAAACAGCTGTTGTCTCTAGTTGAAGAGTCAATAACAAGAGGGTCCAATTTTAAGGTGAACGGCAGGGCATTTAGACGGGATTTCTGGAAAATGTATTCACCCAGAGGATGGTGGGAATCTGGAATGCACTGCCTGGGAGGACAGTTGAGATGGAAAACGCCACAATCTTAAAAAAAATTTGGATGAGCGCTTAGTGCCACAGCATTAAAGGCTGTGGGCAGTGCTAGAAAGTTTCTGTTGGTACAGACTTCATGGGCTTGACAGCCTTTTCTGTCCTGTATAACTACAATTCTATGGTTTTATGCTCCCTTGATAAGATAATAATATGAATATTTCGAATTCACAGTACATTTTAGTGCACGGTGTCTAGCTTTCGTATGTGAATATTGCACATTCACTGGATTTTTGATTCCTGTTTGGCTGAATCACTCCTCAACCATGTGTGCCGCACCAGCCCCCACCACCACACCACTACTATCATCTTAGCACTGACCTTTCCCAAGTTTTTCTTGTACAGTGTTAGAGCTTGGCTATGATAAACTGGCCAGTCTAAGAAGCTTTATTAAACTGTTCCTTTTCTTTTAGATCTCCTTTCTCCTGGTGTGAAGGGTAAGATTTTCAAAGTCCAGCGAACCTACCGACTCTTTGCAGGTATGTAAGATATTAAAAATGCGTCATTTATATTTGTAACAATGCAAACAGAATTAAAATATTAAACTTTGGGAATAAAATTGTTGTAAAACTTGCAACACTTCTAAATTAAATGATGTTTGTTGTCTCATTTTGCCAAATTCCCACGCACTGGTGGGAAATGTTAATGTTTAGATCAAAGGCATAGTGACTTGGAGCTTTTCAAAATAGCACGTACATTTCAATGGCTTCTTGCTTCCATCTAGGGTGCATTTTAGTTTAATTTGCAATTTGGCAAGTACAAGAATGCAATATGCAAGATCCTAAATGTGAAATTCTTGCCTCCCCTGGGGATACACCTGGTTGAGGCTATTTTTTTTGTGAGAAAATATGACAGTTTGAAAAATTTCAAATTTGTGAGCATTGTTCAGGTCAGATGTATGTAAGCATCATAAGGTTGTAATAATGGGGGATTTTAATTCTCCAAACATTGACTGGGGCTGCCATAGTGTTAAAAGGTTTAGATGGTGAAGAATTTCAGGTGTGTTCAAGAAAATTTTCTTTATCAATAAGTGGATGCTCCTACTGGAGAGGGAGCAAAACTAGACCTCCTTTTGGGTAACAAGGCAGGGCAGGTGACTGAAGTAAAGGTGAGGGAACCCTTTAGGTCTAACGATCATAATTCTATTAGTTTCAAAATGTCTATGCAAAAGCATAAGCCTTCCATAAAAGTTAGTGTTTAATTGGAGTAAGGCAAATTTTAATGGTATGAGACAAGAACTTTCAAAAGTTGATTTGTAGTAGACAGTTTGCAGGTAAAAGGACATCTGACAAGTGGGAAGCGTTCAAGAGCGTGATGACGAGGGTTCAGAGGCATTTTGTTCCTGTTAGAGTATAGGGTAAGGCTGGTGAGATTAAAGAACAGTGGGTGAATAAAGGTATTGAGGTTCTAGTCAAGAATAAAAGAGAATCTTATTTTAGATATAGCCAACTTGGTTCAATTGAATCTCTTAAGAATGCTCCTACACTTTTTTTAATATTGATTTGAAAGAAATCAGGAAGGCGCAGAAGGAATACGAGATAGTATTGGCAGATAAGGTTAAGAATAATCCAAAGAGATTCTACAAATACATTAAGAGCGAGAGGGTAGGGCTTCTTAAAGATCACGGAGGTTGTCTTTGTGTTGAACCCCAGGAGATGGGAGAGATACTAAATGAATATTTTGTGTTTAGTTTTTGCTGTGGAGAAAGAAATGATGTCTAGACAATGCAGAGAAATAAACTTTGATGTTTTAAAAACAGTCCACGTTACAGAAGTGGAAGTTCAGGAGGTCTTTGAGAATATAAAGATGGATAAGTCTCCGGGACCTGATCTAACGTATCCCAGAACGTTGTGGGAAGTAAGGGAGGAAATTACAAGACCTCCTGCAGAAATTTTTGCATCATCTATAACTACAGTTGAGGTGCCTGATGACTGAAGGATGGCTAATGTACCTTTGCTTAAGAAAGGTTGTAAGGAGAAACGGGAACTATAGACCTGTGCGTCTGACTTCGGTTGTGGATAACTTGTTGGAGGTGATTATAAATGATAGGATTTATGGACATTTAGAGAGGCAAACATTGATTTGGGGATAGTCAGCATGGTTCTGAGAGGACGTTTGTGTCTCAAACTTGATTGAGTTTTTTGAGGAAGTTATCAAAAAGGTTGATGGCAGAGGAGTAAATGTTTTATGGATTTTAGTCAAGCCTTTGACAAGGTTCTGCTTGGTAGACTAATTAATTAGTAAAGTTAGGTCACATGGGATTCAGGGTGAGCTTGCCAATTGGATATGTAATTGGCTTAACGGCAGGAGACAGAGTAATGGTGGAGGGTTGCTTTTCGGACTGGAAGCCTGTGACCAGCAGTGTTCCACAGGGATTGGTTCTGGGTCCTCTTTTGATTGTCATTTATATAAATAACTTGGATGAGAATATGGAATGCGTGGTTAGTAATTTTGCAGACGACACCAAAATTGGTGGCATTGTAGGCCATGAAGAAGGTTTTCTAAGATTACAAAGGGATCTTGACCAAATGGTCAATGGGCTGAAAAATGGCAGATGGAGTTCAGTCGGGATAAATGCGAGGTTTGCGTTTTGATACAACTAGCAAGGGTAGGGCTTCTACAATTAATGGTAGGATCTTGGGTAGTGTTGTAGAACAGAGGGACCTAGGGGTGCAGGTATATAATTCTTTGAAATTCCTGTCACACATGGACAGGATGGTTTAAAAGGCGTTTGATACACTTGTCTTCATTGCTCAGTCCTTTGAATATGGGAGTTGGGAAGTCATGGTGAGGCCTCTTCTGGAATATTATGTCCAGTTCTGTTTGCCCTGTTATAGGAAGGATATTATCAAGCTGGAGAGGGTTCAGAAGAGATTTACCAAGATGTTGCTAGGTAGGGAAGGTTTGAGTTGTAAAGAAAGGCTGGATAGGCGGGGACTTTTTCATTGGAGTGTAGGAGGTTGACAGATGACCTGATGGAAATTTATAAAATGAGAGTTATAGATGGTAGTTGTCTTTTCCCTAGAATGGGGATTTAAAGACTAGGGGGAATATTTTTAAGGTGAGAGGAGAGAGATTTGAAAAAAAAAGACATGAGGCAATTTTGTTTTTGTTAGAGAGTGGTTTGCATGTGAAATTAACTTTGAGAAAATGGTGGATGCGGGTACAATTACACTGTTTAAAAGACAGTTGGATTAAGTACATGTATAGGAAAAGTGTGGAGGGATATGGGCTCGGAGCAGGCAGTTGGGACTAGTTTAGTTTGGGATTATGTTTGGCATGACTGTTTGGACTGAAGGGTCTGTTTCCATGCTATATGATTCTATGACTCAGATCTTCAACATCAGTTATAAACCTGGAATGTAAGGTTAGAGTTCATTGTGCTATAAAGTTTATTTTATTAAAACGTCATTCTACAATGCAAATGTAAAAGAACAGTTATCTGGAAATCTGAATTAGATCCAGGAATATTTGATACTTCGTACTCAATTTAACTCTTGGCCGACCAGATACAGATGTCTATGGATGAGCTTGGTGTTAAAGAAGCTAAATGATGCCTTGTACCAGGACTCTTTGTTTAGGATTCTTGCTGGAACTTTTTTGTGTGGTGCTAAATTTAAAGTACTTCTTAGTTTTGAGTTTGCTTGATAGAAGATTTAAAATGTAGCTGCATTTGTGTATTTGATTTGAGAGTTCCCTTTTTATTTCCTTATTCTACCCAAGGGTCTCTTGATACATTATGGCATCTTGGGGATCATTTGCTTCTGCTTTTGAAACTAAACCTACGATCTCGCAGTCCTCTGGAATTTACTTGGATTTATTTAAGCTCCCCATGATTTTATAAACCTCTATAAGGTGACCCCTCAACCTTCTATGCTCCAGTGAAAAAAAAAATCCCAGCCTCTCCTTATAACTCCAGCCATCCAGTCTCGGTAACATTCTTATGAATCTTTTCTGCACCCTCTGCAATTTAATAATAATCTTTGTGTAGCCGGGCAACCAGAACTGTACACGCTACTCAAAAAAAAAGTGGTCTCACCAATGTCCTGTACAACTGCATCATGATGTCCCAACTCCAGACTCTGTGGTCTGAGCAATGGAGGCAAATGTGCCAAATGCCGCCTTTACCACCCAATCTCCTTGTGCCGCAACTTTCACTGAACTATGTATGAGAACCCCTGGGTCTCTCTGTTCACCAACATTCCCCAGAGCCCTACCATTAACTGTGTAAGTCCTGCACTAGTTCGTCCTACCGAATGAATTGTTAAATTAGATATTCAAAACTGGATGTTTCTCGCGTTTTCCAACTCTTTTTTTTTTTTGGATCAAAAAAAGTCCAAAGTTCTCCTGTTTTATGGCTGTATCTTATCAATCACATTCAAGAGAAAATAATATCTTTGGTAAAGAATTGAATATTCAACTTTTTGGTACTGGTACAAAGTATAACAGACATCAAGTAACGTATAGTATGAGGAGCAAGTTTCTCCCTAACTGCAATCTCTGACTTGCTTGTTGAACTTGTGTTTCTGATTCTCCAACCAAGTACCTTTGCAGTTTTTGAAGATTATCTCTCATATTTGTGATTCGAATCGTGCAAAACTTTTTTTTCATGAATTCTGAGATAGCCACACTCCATTAGTCTGTGAATTGGTGATGTTCCCATGTTGAGTATTATCTTAATATTTCTATTTTCCTCTAGTCAACTTAGTTTAAAACCATATTTCAGTCTGCTTTTTTAAAATAAGGATTAAATTAATTACTCAGCTTTGTAAACTGAGAAATATGGTTTTTCTCCATTCAAGAGAATTTTTCCACTACAGGAAGAGAAAAATATTTCAGATGATTTGACCATCCCAAAGTAACCTGGGCCACCATTTTGCTTTGTTGTTCCTTTTCTGCATTTCTGTTGCCTTTAGTGTTTAAACTACTTGATTTGTTATCCACTTTGTACATTTTTAGGTGACCACTGTGACTGCATAGCCTTAGCAATTTATTTCATATGAGTACTTGACAATTTCCTATGTTAGAAATAATTTGGACAGTTTCACAGCAACAAATTACATTGGAGAATACCTTGAAGATGCTTGCATTATGCTGAAATATATTTTTGATATTGCTATGTCTTCAACATATGGTAGTGAATGATCAAATTACATTGTGAATCTGTAAGGCATGGTCATTATTGTGATTGGGGTTTTGATAAACTGGATTATTGAGTTTCACTTGAGACTAAATAAGCAACTGTGATCTTTACTCCATCTGCAGTCAAGAGAAGACATGTTTGCTTGTGACGAGATGAAATACAGATGGTATTTAGCATTAAAGAGAACAAAAGTCTGAATGCTGGGATCTTAAATTGTGCAATGTTTTATTACCTTCAGCAGGAACGTTGAATAATTTAATAATTGTCAAAAGACAGATGCCTGTATAGGATTTAGCACAATTTTTAGACAAATAGCAATTCAGAACTTGTGATGAA